ATTCTGAAAAGTGTTCTAAAGTGCATCTTTGCATCCTCATTCCATCCTAGGCATTCCTAGGCCTAGTTTAAGGCATCTTAATGAGGAAATTGATGTAGAACCACACCGAGGCAAATTAGGGATTAAGTTATTATTTCCCCAACTGTATAGCTTAGTGTGTGTTCGTTCTGTAACTGTGTAGGGTTGGTATCCGGGGACGCTCTAGCTGCTTATAGCCCAGTGCTCTGTGAGTAACAACGTTATAAAGATATGTTCAATCATGAATATTTTCTGAATGAACAACTGTACTGCTTTTTGAAATGATATTTCTTACTGAATGAATGTTTGTCCTATTTGTGAACTGTATTCGTGGCATCCATAGCAATATGCTGATACTGCACTGTACTGCTACTGTTACAGAGATCTCTGTCGGTTCCCATGTTGGAACCACTACTGTTTATTAATATGATGGCCATCAATTGACTGTTCGGTCTGTTAAGACCTATTGTACTGTTTTGCTATTGGATGTACCACATATGACTATTATAAATTTTGATTGACTATTATGGCATGAAATATGAGCCACAAACTGAATGACTGATTTACTGATAAACGACTGTTTTAAATACTGAAAGGACATTCATTCTTAACCTCTTTACGCATATGCTATTCACTGGGCTTTAGCTCACTACTCATATATATATGTAGGTGCGTAAGCACCAGACCGTTGCTAGGAGCGTCGGGCTAAGCTCCCGTTTTGTCAAAGCCAACCACCGTGCCTCGCTGCGAGATTCCAAGTCCTTCAAGCTAGGGCTTTTTGGGGTGTTTTAGTTTTCTCCCTTTTTGTATCTGGTTTTGTAACACTATATAGACTGAATGATATGTGTACCTGTACTGTACTGTTATGGTAGGGATTTGGTCCCTAACCTGAATACGTGTTTATGATGTATATACATACTATTTTGTTTCGAATGTGAAAATGTATGAGAAGTCTTTTTGGCATACAGACTGTCACAGCTCATTGGACATCTTTTAATTACTGTTTTGGCTTCCGCCAGCCCCTGTACTCTGTATTACTGTTTTACTATTAAGCAGGCCTTCGGTAATCTCGTATTACTGGCCGGTTACAGTGCTAAACCCATAGGGGCGGGTTTTTGTCGTGTCACTAAGGCAGTATGTGAATTATTATGGATACGTAGGTTACAGTGCTAAACCCATAGGGGCGGGTTTTTGTCGTGTCACTAAGGCAGTATGTGAATTATTATGGATACGTAGCTTATTAGAAGATCTGAATATTACACATGACAGCTCAATGAAGCTATATTGTGATAACAAGGCAACTTGCGATATTGCCCACAATCCAATTCAACACGTTTGAATTAAACATGTGGAAGTTGATAGGCATTTCATTAAGGAGAAACTAGAAGCAAGGATCATTATAACACCACATGTCTCGTCTCAAGAACAACTTGCTGACCTACTTACTAAGGCTGTATCCAAGAATCTGCCCCCTCAAAATTTGAAAAATATCATATATTATACTAGAAATTTTAAAATAATTTAAAATTGTAGGACTTCGCACCCCCAAATTTTTTTTTAGATAATTTCAAAATTATATAGAGTAGCCCCTCCAATTTTTTAAACTATTTGGAATTTTTGTTTTTTTGAATTATTTAACATATATAATAATCTATTTTAAATTTCATGTATATGTATTTTTTAAATTAGGTCAAGATGAAAGCAAAATTTTAGAAACTTTAGTGGGTCAAAGTGTAAAATATGAAACTTTTACATATATATATAAACTATAAGGCTTGTTGGAGAAGCTTTAAACAAAGCACTAAGATTAAAATAAAGTAAAGAAAACAATTGATCTGTTCTGCGAAAAAAAAAGGAGTAAAGAGACGAGGGATACGTGCATATCCCTTCGAATAAAATGAAATTATCTGATATTCACAAACGAAGAGTAAGGAATTGCACTGTGGTTTGACAAAAAAATAAGTTATGAATTTGAAAGGATATCATCAGATAAAATAATCTGTGGGGGCATAAGTTATCTGATATTCACAAATGAAGAGTTATGAATCTGGTAAGTTATCTAATATCCCTTTAGCTTCAATGTGATGTGATTATTTTGCTTTTAGATTGAATATTATGAATCTATGATTGATTGTGATTTTAGAATGAATAATGTGATTATTTTGCTTTTAATTTGTTATTGGTGCGATGAAAGTCTGATAATTGTTATTAGTACAATTATTAACTAAATATTGTGAATTTGTTTTTTTAATACTATGATTTATTGTAATTGGTAGGTACTGTGTGATTTCTTGATAATTGAATAGGCTTTTAGGTTACGATTTGTTGATTTCCTCTAAGAATTTGGATAAAAATCTAAATGTTATTTTGTGCTGTCATATATTTTATGACTTTTAGGAATAGGATAGGATTATATTATATAAGATTCTGAAAGTTTTTTTTAGAGTCTATTTACATTAAAAATAGAGTGCAATAATAATAATTATTATTCTCAAATTAATTGCTTTCAGGTTGTTGAATGATAATTATTGAAAGTTAAGTTAATCATGGCGAACAAAAAAATTAATTCCTTCTTTAAGAAAAGAGGTTCTGAAAATATTGTTCAAAGTTCCATCAATAATGTTAAAACTTCAACTCCTCTGGAACAACGTCCTTCTAAACTTCCAAGAGTCGAATCTAAAGATGTTGATACATCTTCTTTGGTGAGGGATCCAGGGTTACGTCAACAAATATGGGATTACCTGGTATCTGAACGTGATGAGATCAGACGTGCTTATATCAAATCCAGGCCATATTAACCCAAGGCTTCGAACAATCAACCTTTTGAAACCAATAAGAATGGACATCGTTTTTTAGATTCTTGGTACAAGTTATTTCTGGATTGGTTGGAATACTCTCTAACAAAAAATCGTGCGTTTTGCCTTCCATGTTTTCTTTTTACTAAGCCAACTGGACGCCCTGGATCTAGTGCTTTTACAGTCGAGGGATTTTCTTCTTGGAAGAAAGTCAATGAAGGGAAGAATTGTCCTTTGTTATCGCATATGGGCTAGGATCCTAACTCATTGCATAGAGTTGCTGTCAAATGTTGTTGTGATTTAACAAATCAAGCACAACATATTGAGGCAATTGTTGAAAAACAAACTTCCATACAAATTGCTAGAAATCGTTTACGATTGAAGACCTTGATAGATGCGATTAAATGGTTAACATTCCAAGCTTGCGCTTTTAGAGGTCGTGATGAACGCCACGAATCTAACAACCGAGGGAATGTTATTGAGTTGATAAAGCTCTTGGCTTCTTATAATGAGGATGTGGCAGCAGTGGTTTTGGAAAATACTCCTCAAAATGCTTCCTATCATTCCCATGGGATTCAAAAGCAGATTCTTAGTATTTTCTCTGATAAGATACAAAAATTTATTCGTGAGGAGATTAATGATAGGAATTTTTGCATTCTAGTTGATAAATCTGAAGATGAATTGAAAAGAGAGCAAATGGCAATTATTTTGAGATTTGTTGATAAATATCGTTTTATAAAAGAGCGTTTCTTTGACATTGTTCATGTGTTAGATACCACGTTGGCAACTTTAAAAGAAGAAATTTGTATTGTCTTTTCTCGTCATAACCTTAGTGTGCAAAATATTCGTGGTTAGGGATATGATGGTGCCAGTAACATGTCTGGAGAATGGACTGGGTTGTGGGTTCTATTTTGTGATGAGTGTCCGTTCGCATATTATGTTCATTGCTTTGCTCATCGGCTCCAATTGGCTTTAGTAAGAGCATCTAAACAAGTTATATCTATCAATCAATTTTTCTCTTACTTGACTCGAGCAATTAATATAGTTGGCTCATCTTGCAAAAGCCATGATCAATTAAGAGTTGCTCAGGCTGCAGATATTGCTGAAAAGCTTGCCATTGATGATGAATTCGAGACTAGTAAAGGAAAAAAATCAGATTGGAACATTGAAATGAGCTGGAGATACTCGATGGGGTTCTCATTTGGGTTCCATTTGTAGTTTGATAAACATGTTCAGTGCTACTTGTGCAGTCCTAAGAAACATAATTAATGATAGAAGCATATCGAATCAACGAGCTGAGGCAGATGGAGTTTATGATTCCATTACATCTTTTAAGTTTGCCTTCATCTTATATCTTATGAGGGATATCATGGAGATTACTGATGATCTTTGCCAAGCTTTGCAAAGTAAATCTCAAGATATATTAAATGCAATGCATTTGGTGTCTACAACGAAGATACTTATTCAAAAATTTAGAGAAGATGGATGGGTTCCATTGTTGGAGAAAATTAAATTATTTTCTAATGATCATGGTATACAGATTCATGATATCCTTATAAAGGAGGCTGAGGTCGGTCTTGTTCTGAAAGAGATCAGCTCACCATGGAATATCATTTTCGAGTTGATATTTTTATGGTTACAGTTGATTCTCAGTTACAAGAATTAAACAATAGGTTTGAGGAAGATGTAATGGAATTGCTTGTTCTTAGCTCTGCTTTGGATCCTAGGGATGGTTATAGATCATTCAACATTGAGGATATTTGCAAACTTGCAAATAAATTTTATCCCATGGATTTCTTCGAGCAAGAAAAATTACATTTGAAGTATCAGTTAGAAAACTATAAGCTTGATATTTCCATACTTCTCGAGTTTCAGAAGCTGTCAACCATTTCTGAGTTGTGTCAAATGTTGGCAAAAATAAAAAAGTCAACAAGTTATCCTCTTATTGATAGATTGATCCGTCTTGTGTTGACTTTACCTATTTCAACTGCTACATCGGAATATGCATTTTCAGCTATGAAACTCGTTAAGTCTAAATTGCGCAATAGGATGGAAGATGGTTTTCTGGCTAGTTACTTGATTACGTACATTGAAAAAGACATTGCTCGAGGGTTTGATGTAGACTCTATCATCCATGCTTTTGATATTATGAAAAAGCGTCGAGCTCAATTGAAGATGTCTAATTTTAGTAAATAAATGCATGTAGCAATAGTTACTACTTTTTGTAAGTGAATATGGGCAAAAAAATATTCTCAATTGAATGATCATCTTTGGATACTGAACTATGTTGACAAGGAATATATAGTTCAATATTTTATCGTAACATTATTGATTTTTTTCATGTTAGTAGAAATTAGTATTGAACTTCAAATTTTATTAGTTATAGGTTAAACGTACTTTGGCCCCACCAAAGTCATAATCCTGAATCTGTCCCTGGCTACATCAAGTCGAGCATTTCATGATGGTCTCACCAAATTGGGAATGAGCAACATCTACGCACCAACTTGAGGGGGAGTGTTGAAGATTTTAGAATTAATTCCAAGTTGGTATACTTCTGTTTATAGATTGATTGTAAATATGTTTCCTAGATTAGAGATATGCTCTACTGGCATTCCAATTATGTAGTCCTAAACTTTAGCATTCCAATTATGTTGTGATACCCCTGTTCTGTATTATGCTAAATTGGTCCTTAATTTGTTTATGGTTATGTGTTTAGCATGATTTTGTGTGCCATTATATGATAATATGTGATTTTGAATTCGTATATGTTCACCGTAGGAATATCTGTTTGAATAATCCGCTTCGGGAATTAAATTGAGGGCCTTATCGGCCATAGAACCCGAAATTGATTACGCCATGTGATTGGCATAATTTTTAGAGCCTGCGGTGAAATTTAATTGAAAATTGATCCTGGTCAATTTAAACTGATTAAATTGATAAATTAAGTGCCCAATTGTTTTATAATAAAATAATGTTGAGGGGGTGCTTATTAAGGGTCAACTACACCCTCATTTCTCTCCTTTTAAGCTTCATTTGGCTGATGAAAAACTCTTAGACTTGAGAGAGGGTCGGCTAAGAGAGAGAGGGTGAAGGAAATTGAGATTTTGGTCCTAAAGCTTGGTGATCTTGGAGGCTAGCTCAAGAACTTACCTTAAATTGTGAGGATTAAGCTTCTAGGTAAGCCATTGACTCTTGAATTCATGAATTGAATGTGTAATCTTGTGAGCTCAAGTATTTTTCTTGGGATTAAGAGTATGATTTAAATTGGTCTTGATGAGATATGACCATGCATGCATAAAACTTCTGTTGAATTGCCATAAGTTGCATAATCTGGCATGTACCATGTCAATTAAGCAAAAATTGAAGTTTGATCATGCATGCAAGCTTGGTTTTGTTGAGTTTTGGCACCATTTGCATCTTTGAAATGGAAATGAAGTCAAGATGGCCTTGCATGTTCGAATAATTAAAGATATGAGCTTGAATGCATGAATTTGTTATATTGGTGATGCGTTTGTCATGTTTTGGGACATGCATGTAGGTAAATCAAGAAATTGAACTTCATAATGTTATAATCTTGCAAGGGAACCATGTTAGTATGGTTATATTTGAGATTTGAGCCTTTGCATGCAAGAATGGTGGCTGGGAAATTGAATTGAAGCTCAAGAACACAATCTGGAATTTCCAGAATTTTGACTTCCGCTCGAGTGGGGGAAGTGCCGCTCGAGCGGAGAAATCGAGCTCCCAGCATTTTTCTTGCAGACATGGTTCCTGCTCGAGCGGGGGAATTTGACGCTCGAGCGGGGAGCTGTGTAGACAGGCAGTATGCTCGAGCGGCCGAGTTCACGCTCGAGCTGGAATTGAAGGCAACCAGTACTTTTGCAGACCTAAGGGTCCGCTCGAGCGGGTAAGTCCACGCTCGAGCGGGGACCCTATTTTCTAAATTCCTGTTTTTGCATTTTGTGTTCCGTCTTCCGTTCTCTTTCACTTACAAGCACTCTTAGGCATATGTTAAGCATTATAAATGAGTTAATGAGGTAATAATAAGCCTAAAGAGGAATATGTGAATTAAAGAACGGATTGAACTGTTAGTGACCCTTTTGTATTCATGAAATGTGTAGGGTCAAGCTCCAGTTGAAATGAATGAGTAGGCCAAAGGCCGTTTTGAAATGAATGAGTGGGCCGAAGGCCGTTTTGAAATGAATGAGTAGGCCAAAGGCCGTTTTGAAATGAATGAGTGGGCCGAAGGCCGTTTTGAAATGAATGAGTAGGCCAAAGGCCGTTTTGAAATGAATGAGTGGGCCGAAGGCCGTTTTGAAATGAATGAGTGGGCCAAAGGCCGTTTTGAAATGAATGAGTGGGCCGAAGGCCGTTTTGAAATGAATGAGTAGGCCAAAGGCCGTTTGAAATGAATGAGTAGGCCAAAGGCCGTTTTGAAATGAATGAGTAGACCAAAGGCCGTTTGAAATGAATGAGTGGGCCAAAGGCCGTTTTGAAATAAATGAGTGGGCCGAAGGTCGTTTTGAAATGAATGAGTGGGCCAAAGGCCGTTTTGAAATGAATGATTGGGCCAAAGGCCGTTTTGATATAATCAACTAGGCCGAAGGCCGTTTCGTAATGAATGTAAAGCTGAATGAGCAAAAGGCCAGTGTGTGCGGGATTATGGTTACTTGATTTAAATTACCCTTATATATGTTAATTTTGAAATGAATGAGTGGGCCGAAGGCCGTTTTGAAATGAATGAGTAGGCCAAAGGCCGTTTTGAAATGAATTAGTGGGCTAAAGGCCGTTTTGAAATGAATGATTGGGCTAAAGGCCGTTTTGATATAATCAATTGGGCCGAAGGCCGTTTCGTAATGAATGTAAAGCTGAATAAGCAAAAGGCCAGTGTGTGCGGGATTATGGTTACTTGATTTAAATTACCCTTATATATGTTAACTACAGATATGAATTGGGCCCTAGGCTGTTTGGAAAACGTTGTTCTACGTCTTGTCGCTTAAATTCTGTAATTGATATTATTCACTGGGCTATCGCTCACGCTCATTCATGTCTTTGTAGGTGAGCCAAGAGAGGTCCAGACCCAGCCTCAGTGAAGCCTGTGTAGAACAACCCAGATTTTGGGGAGTCAGCCCTCGTGTCTCACGCATGAGACCTGTCTTTGCCTTTTGTTATCTATTTTATGTTGTCATGATGGCGAAGACTTTGTGTAATTCTATACATAGTTTTGATGAGTTGACTTGGACTTATATGATCCTGTTTATACATAACTCATGCTACTATTTTACTGTTGTGAGTTATTAATGCCTATGTATATGGTTGTTTTGACGTGCCATGTAAGCACAGCTCTGTGGACAAAGTTTTAAATTTTTACTTCCGTTTGGCCCCCATTAACTCTGTTAAAATACGTTTGGATCAGTTACAGGTCGTAGGTAATCTCATGATTACTGGGCGGTTACGTCCTTAACCCACGGGGGCGGGTTAGGGTCGTGACATATGTATAGTGGCTATTTATACCCACAATATTGTAAAGAAAAAGTAATAAGAAATAATATCAAGTTTTTGACTGATTGAGCAGATTAACGGATTGACAGATGGATGGGAATCAGTTTAGCGGTTTAAAATTTTATAAATTTTCAACATAATTCAACTTGTGCACTTCCTCAAAAAAAAAAAAAAAAAAGTGTTACAGTCAATGACTTAAAAAAGTATTACAATCACTGCATGCCTCATTCAAAGAAAAAAAGTTTGAAATTTTAGAATATTACAATCACTACATGCCCCATCTATATATTACAATCACATTATGTCTCATCCACATAAAGTATTACAATCTATGGTTCTTAAAATATAAAAACAATTCAAACCACCAAAACCATGAATAGAGCAGTTATAGAGATTGTATGTCTCTATATTGTTACATCTATATTTATTTTTGAAAATAAAAACCAATCAACATATATTATCTTTTTTATTTATTATTTTAGAGTTAGATTTAAAAGCCAAAAAATATAGATAAATAATACATTTATTTTTTTCAATTCAAAAAATATATTCAAGTTGAAAATTCTTTTTCAACAGAATATTTAAACTAATTTTCAATTAAAAACACAAATAGAATATCTATACAAATTGAAACACAAAATCTTACAAATTATTAGGGTGCTCGCGGTTTGACAGTTTGGTTGCGGCCAAAGGAACCTCAAATTCGTCATCCTTCCAAAATTAAGGGGATTGGAAAAAATCAATCTGCGATCGTCCGCTCATCATCATACATCCGTCCAAAATGTGGCGGATCGACTCGGATCAGATGGCTTGAGCGGATCGATATATCTGTTGCTCATCCCTAAGTTATATATATATTAATTTTAGTTAAATTATTTGTGTATTTTGATAATTTTAGTTCTATCGTATTATAAAAATGTAATTTTCATAAAATAATTTTGTATGATATATATTAAATTATAAAGTAATAAAATAAATACTCATTTTGCTATTGAAAATAATAGTTACATTAAAAGAAGAATTACTAACAAAAAATTAAAAGTAATTCTAACTATTTAATTTTATTTTGTATTCATTTAGAAAATAAAAATATGTAGAAATATAAATTATATAAAATTTATTAAAAAAATTAAATATAAATATGTTATAGTTGGATCATATAATGATTTTATATGATATATATATATATAAGATTGTAAAATAAACACTCTTAATTAAATTAAGGGTAAATTATACTGACACTCCCTAAGGTTTTTGTTTAATACATATCCATCTCTCACATTTGAAAAATTGCATTATCCTCCCTGAGATTTGTAATCTCTTTACAAATTGTCCCCTAGATTACTGATGTCACACCTTAAAATTTTTTTAAATGACCATCTTGCCATTTTTCCTACCATTTATTTTTTTTATCATTGTGACTACATTATACAACCTTCCATCATTGAATTCTATCTAAACATATTCTTATTGAGTGATGATATACAAACATAATTTTTATATAAAATTTCAAACACAATGATATAACTTAATGGTGACCTTTCACTTTAAACTAAATATCCACAAACATGATTTATATTTACAATAATATCAATATCACAACATTTTTATGATATTTTTTGTATAATTTTTTATATATGAATATAATTTTTCATTTTTATTTCCACCATTATATCTAGATTAGATCAATTTAATCCATGTATATATATTTAAAAAGTATAAAATTTGTACAGAAAACTTTAAAAAAATTCATTGAATACAACAAAATAAGATAATGTATTGAATTTTTTTTTTTGTATTTTTTGTATTTGGTGAATTTTAAAAAAAAAAACTACAAAATATTATACTTCTTAAATATATCTAGATTAGGTATATTTAAAATAAAATAAAATAAAAAATAAAAAATTGCTTAAAATATTTTAAAAATTCAGTAAAAATATATATATATAAAACTCAATTTTTTGTGTGAGTTAAACCAAATAACATGATTTTTATTTCCCTTGAAATGATATGAACAAAATATCTATATTATTTTATTATTTTATGTTATAAAGGCTAAGGGACAAATATCTCATTTTAATCTGACGGGGGGTAAGTGTAACTTTTCAAATGTGAAGGGAGGATCTATATTAAACAGAAACCTCAGGGGGTGTCAGTGTAATTTATCCTTAAATATTAAAATATCAACTATATAAAAGAAATTCAACAATGATTAACCAAGAAATAATCACATAACATCTAAACCCAAAAAGAAAAAAGTAGTAAAAAATTCAAACAATAGATACATTTCAGTATATGAAATAATTACCCATTTGGAATATGATGTCAAAACATAAAAGAACTTATTGTTCAACAATTGAAAAAGTAACTCAAGTAGTATATTCAAACTTTAGAAGTTTTTCAAAAATATCATTGCTGTGCAGGTTTTTTCTCATGTAAGTTGTGATTATATAATTTAATGTAGGAAATGAAGTATAATTTCATATATAAAATCACTATAAAATTTAAATGACAAATTCATAATATAGAATAATATAGAATTAGTATTAGGTGTAGAATAATACACTAAAAAATAAGAAGAAAAAAAAGAAGACAATTTAGTATTTAAAAAAATCTTAATACCCTTGAAATAATTAAGAAGAAAATGTAAAACGCAAAATTGGTATTGGATTTGTGAATTATCTCAATTTACCATGAAAAATATATGGAAAAAAAATATTTGTCAAATAGAATCTATATAAAATAGGTAAATTACTATAATTTAAATTATGTTTGAATTTATGTAAAATTTTATAACTAAGAAAATATATGCTGTCATGGTTCCTTAAAAAAAAAAAAAAAAAAATTGTTATAATGTGCTATCTAAACATAAGAAAAATATTATTTTTAATAATATATATATGATTTCAACAATATATATCAAGTTAATAAAAAACTAGGCCTACCATATCTATCGAGAGGTAAAAATGGCAGTGAACAAGAACAAGCTTGCTTTTGGGAAGTTGGTTTTGGTGGTTTAGGGGCTAAAATAAACACAAAAAATAAAATAGATTATTTTAATCACAAAAAATAAAATATCAAATCTAATCAATAATCATTACACTCCTCTCTCATAAAAAAACTCAAAAACGTCAAAAAGTCAAAAAGTCCTTCATAAATCAAGCTTTTTAATTCCAGATTAAAATAGTTAAAAAACCAAAAAATTTAAAAGTCAACCCACTGTCTAAACGGAGGCTAAAGTTATTTTTTATCAACAAGGAACTCTAGTAACATATTTCCAACCTCCTTATTTTGTAACTTAGTTTTTTTGTTTACAACGATATGTGTCGGATGGTTACCGCACGTTGCGTAGCCAACTAACTTATATGAGAGTATCTCTAAGGGATAGTTAGATTTGTTAGGTATTTTAATCAATGTAAATTTAATTTTGAGTTCTAAGTTATTGGACTAATTATTTTATCACTTTATTTTTTTGGTGGCTATAATTGAAGAGCCCTATAGGCTCTCAAAATAATTATGTATGTATATATTTTAGATTTTTATATATTTATGTCTTGGATTTGGGATTTTATATAATATATATATATGTGTGTGTATGTAACAATTTTATATATTCTTTCAATTCTGTTTGATGAATTACGGAGTAACTTATTTTGTATTTTGTATTTTTTAACTCCCCATTCTACAAGTTTTGTATGTTTGTATGGGCAAATTTAATATTATTACAAATTTATATTAGTAAAATATCAACAATTAGTATTTTTTTATTTTAAAAATTAATTAAGTTAGTTTAAAGGGTGAATTACACTAATAGTCCCTATAGTTTGGGGTTTGTGTCACTTTGGTCCTTGATTTTTCATTTGTGACACATTTGATCCTAAATTTTGAATCTTGTTCCAAATAAGGACAATTGAAGATATCATTAGATTTTTTAAAGGAAAAATCGTCAATTTAATAAAATATAAACTAATTTGACAAAAATAAATGTCAAACAAATATTTTTGAATTTTTAAAAATTATTTCTACCCACTAAAAATAAAATTATATAAAATTGATAAATCTTTTAGACATTTATTTATTTTTTTACCAAATTAATTTTTATTATATGTTTAGATGATGATCATATAAAATTAATTTTTAAAAATTAATCATGTAATTTTTATTAATTTTTATCAATTTTACATGCGTTTATCATTGGTGGATAAAAATAATTTTTAAAAAATTTAAAATATTTTTTTGACATTTATTTTTGTCAAATTAGTTTATATTTTATTAAATTGACGATTTTACCCTTGAAATTAAACAATGGTATCTTCAATTGTCCTTATTTGGAACAAGATTTAAAATTCAGGGTCAAATATATCACAATTGAAAAGTCAGGGATAAAAGTGACACGAGTCCTAAACTATAGGGACTGTTAGTGTAATTTGTCCTAGTTTAAATGATTAACTAAAATAAAGAGTTTGGTTATAGAACACAGTAGCTAAAGTAATTAAGTAAAATAAAGAGTGTCTTTTTTTTGTACTTTAACTAGTAAAAAGTAGAGAGTGTGGTTGTAGTTGCTCTAAATAATAGTTTGCCTTTTTTTATTAAAAATAAATAAATAAATAAATAAATAATTCTAGGCCACCGAGGTTATTATTATTTTTTCCTCTTTTCAAACTTTAGAGAAATCAGCGTAATTTACTATTTTTTTAAATGACAACTCCAGTTGAGACAGCACTTGTGATCGAAAGCTTGGCTCAGTGGCCTGCATACCATGATCAGTAACAAATTTCCATTTCAATATACAGCTGAGCATTAGGAATTACAAATCCATTTATGAATATAACAAAAGGAGTTACAAGCATACAATATGAATAGAAACAGTGTGGCTCATTATATTTTAGTTGTAGCATTCATACAAAGAAAGGAGACAAATTGAAAGAAAAGGAAGAAAATGTGAATTCAAATCATGATTCCACGCCTTAATTCAAGTATGGTGTTTGGTTAGTGTTCTCACACGACGATTCCAAAACTCTGCACAGAACACCTGCAGTTTTTTGTTTTGACAGACATGTTTTTCTTTTGTTTTTAAAAATTTTGCCTGATGGAATATCCGACCGGTCGTCCAGCCAGTTGACCGGAATAGTGAATTATTTTTTTATTTTATTTTTTATTTTTTTATTTTTTTTGCAATTGATTTATATAATCAAAAAAACCATTTTCTAAAATTTTTAAAATTTTTTATGTACTTTAAAATAATTTTGAATTGTATGTTTAGTTATGAATTGTAATTTTTTGTATCACATATCAAATGTCACATTAACAATTCCCCACTCAAATCAAAACTCTTTTCAAAACTATTTTCAAAACTCTTTACCAAACAGATTTTCTACACTCAAATCATAATTTCACAACACACAAACTCAAAATACAACTCATACTCTCAAATCACATTTACAAAACTCTACCAATCGCTACCTAAAGTTTCACAACATTCAACTCTCCACAAGTTTTCATTCCAATGCACAAAAACGAGTTCTTCATCAGACAAAGTGTATACGTTCTTCACCCTCTTCATGTTTTGTTATCAATGGATCAATGAGGCCTCTCCATTGACTGTAGTCCAAAGTTGGGCCAGCAGTAGGCAATGCAAACCCATTCACAAAGAAAAAAGGCGTTCCAAACACCCCTCTTGAACAACCATACTGCACCAAAAAAACAAACATAAAAAGGAAGCGCATGCATGAATAGCGTATAGACAGGGACTATCAAAGGATCGGATATAACCCGTGTCTAATGCGACTTGAATATTCTAAATCCATTAAGAAAAATGCGGATCTTATAGTCCAATTAAGCCAAAATCCATTTGGTGCAATTATTAACGGGTTTGGATTCAGATAAATCCGATCCAATTACTCAGGCTGGCTCCTAAACCAACTGTTTTTATAATGCATGAATTTCCTGTTACTTAGTGTCCTCATGTAATAAAACAGATTCTTTCTCACCAACCTTTTTATTCATTTAAAAAAAAAAAAAATTTCTTTCCCTCTTTCCATATAGAATAATTAAAATGAAATAAAAAATGTTTGCTACTACATTAAAATCTCTTTCTTAGTTTAGAACAAAAAATAAACAAAAGATGGACTAAATGGGTTGGATCGGATCGGATTTTTGCATCAAATATCCGAATACATCAGATTCATATGACCTCTAACCAGATTTGTCATAATCAGATCCGATTCATATTTAGATTCGAATTGTTTTATAATCATATTTGATTCTGTAGAATCCGATCCACTGATAGGCCTAGTATAGACTATAGATGTTGGTAAAAAAATGGAATAAAACAAGACTTTCTGTCTTTAAGAAGTTACACACAGAACTTCCGTTTCATGGGAAAGATGACCACAAAGACTAACGGAAAATAAACAGGCAATTCCAAGTTGCATCAATCACACTGAACCTGTAGAATCTACAACAATATTCAATCTTACCTTGAACGAAACCCTTGTCATGAGATCAGTTTTCCTGTCAGTAAAGCCAGATTCAACTGCAGAATGGTAGGAGTTACCAACTGCTTTGGTTGCCAATTTCACAATATGTTGAACAATAGACGCCCTAGACATGTTGAAGGTTTGTTGGTTGTAGAACTCCTCCTTAAGATACCACAAAGATTAGCCAATACAAAAATTCCAATGATGATGAGTAATGAAACAAACAACCATGCAACCATGTATGCTGTGCATTCCATGAACACAGTAAATTTACAACATTCAATATCCCATATTTATATACTCCTTTCTAAGCAATAATGATCATCACATACTTGTATAATTTGACTACCATTTCGAAAGTGGATGATGAATTCAGTGCCATCTAACAATGGAAACATACAAGGCAAACACCATAACTTGCATAATAGAAGTGTGGATTAGTATGTGTTTATGTATACCAATGTATCTTTTTTGGGAAGCTACTACATTCACAGCCGAAAGGCTGCATTTAGAGGTCCGTCTCTCAGAAGTGTGCGCCCCAAACAAGTGATGAAGGCTGCCTTGAATGTAGCCTTCTCGGGGTGTGGAAAATAACATCCCTCTCTTTCTCAATGCCAAGGTTTCTGAAAGTTGAGTGAGGATAAATCCCAATGCATGCAAGCAATCCAAGCAAAAGTTCATTTCCTATGAGTAACAATAAAATCTTCCATTCCTCAAAAATTCTTTGTGCAGTTATTGAACGAGCCTTACAAACATCATTTATGGGCACATATGCACGGGAAGAAAAGTTCTATGGCAAAACCCTTGGAGATCCTCATATCATCAATAAATTGACAACAAATAATGGGGGAGGAATTCATATGCGTCACTATGAACAGGTTCATCCATAGATAACTGATAACTATTATACCGAAAAAAAAAAAAAAAAATCTATAAACTTCTTGAGAAGCATATTTATTTTCCAAGGGCCCCATGAACACTTTTAATACCAACAACGTTAAATCCAAGAACCTATGAACTTTTGGTAAAAAGCGTGGAAATGATCTTGCAACAAAATGAATGTAAATTCTGCTCACTTTCTCCCCACATACAAATCAAGTGATACAATGTTACCGTAAAGACCATTCCCCGGTGGTTAATCATTTGAAAATACTGTGTCTAGATGCCTACTAAACTCTAATCTAAACCAGATACCCACTCAAAGTTAATTTGAATTTGTAGAAAATAATGGATATCAATGCTGCTAGATAGCCAATTCATGTAGATGATTGTGATATCATCATGCTATTATGTCATAGTATTCTGTTCTCCAATACAAGATGAAGCAGCCAATGGATAGGGTGGGGGGCCAGACAGCAATATTCCATTTTGAAGGGCAAGAACCATATTGATGGTGCAAACCATCGTATGCTGTGAACTCAACTGACACTAATTTCAAGAACCATTCTGCCAAAATAAATTTTCCTATTTAACATAAAGAGCTTCTTATCTGAAATAATATCATAGCCAAGGCATGCAAGAAGAATATCAATCTCACAGTTATTACAACTATAGATCGATGTATCTTTATAATTTAAAGAGTTTTTACCTGCTGCTTAAAGAACAACTCCAACAAGTCATATGTGGCAGAAGTGTTCAGCTTATTTATAATATGCAATGCACGAGAAGAAACGAAAGCATTATCATGGTAACTGCAGTTTCCAAAAGTAATTTAGTAACCATTGTCCAAAATAACGACTTAACATAAAACTCAACACTGAATTAGAACATCATACTAAATGTAAAATATAATTCAACTGCCAAGTCAACACAACACAACACAACAAAACCTTTTTATTAAACTATTTCGGATAACTCCGCAAAAGTTTTACGTTTCTCAAATTTATGTTCAATTATTTAACTCTATCACCAAAACAATCATGTTCATGATGTATGAGTAAATTTAAAATATAGATTTCGTGGAGCGTGGCAACTTGGAGATGGGGACAGAAACTCCTTTTAAACACCAAATACTTCAGCTCTACAATAGTAGTGAGACAAAGTAAAACCCAAATTGAACTCTCAAACTACCATAAAGATCTATCTCCTAGTAACATACCAACAAGTTGCATAATTTTTTTGATAACTCATCCCGCCCAAAGGACTGACTAATCCAGGGACCAATCCCACCGTCTACTAGTTGGAGAGATTTGTAGGGCCAGACAAAGGGAAACGAAAAAGGAATGAAAAATGAATGGATTTGTGAATTTCACAACACAAATTCACTCCTTTTTCATTTCCCTCCCAAAAACCTTTCTCAAATTTAAGATCCAAACAAGAATCTGGAGATTGAGGACTCTCTCTCTCTCTCTCTCTCTCTCTCTCTCTCTCTCTGTCTTTCTGTCAGTGTTTGTTTGGCATTGGCAAAGAAGTCAATTTTGAACATGAATGTCATCACTGAGAGTCTAAAAAAAGGGCCAATAAAACCTTTTTGCTTGTTTGGTTACTAAGAAAAATTGGGAAAAGAAATAAATCGAATACCCATTCCAAGAATTGTTACTACTGGGGACATCCTATCCATACATGAGTCAAAAAATTTATTTTCTTTTCTTTTCTTTTTTTCCCTCGGATTTTCTTAACAACCAAACAGAAGGGAAATTGTGCGAAATGGGAATTACTCACGGTAAAGCAAAAGGGTGAACGATGAGGGAGACACGAGGGCCATAGAAATCGAGGGCTTGCTTGAGAGGAGGCCAAGAGTCTCTGCTGTCAGGGCAGACCGGGTCGAAGAATGCCTCGATCATGATCGAGTCGATGCTGACCGGGCGGTTCTTGTACACGAACCCATCGAACTTGGCCGGGGTTGTGACCTGGGCATCCACGATCGGACCGGTTCGATTGAGAACGAAGAAGAAGCAGAAGAGTAAAATGGAGGAGAGAGTCAATTGTGCCATTTGGTTGAGATGGTTTTTTCCCCTTTTGGGTATGCGTATGAGTGGAGTGGGGTTTACTTGCATATTTGTGGAAGAAACACATTTTTTTCACAGATAAGACCTTCATCACATCACATGATCACCCATACCTAAAAAAATGGCTTTTTTTTCCCAGTTTTTTGTCAAACACATTGTAAAAAATCACCAAGTCAGTTTTTTTTTTTTTTTTCACTGATAAGGCGTTGTTTGACAAGTAATTTTTTTAATTAAAAAGTCAAAAAATTATTAAAAAAATTAAAAAGTCAACAATTATACTAAAAAGTCAAACATTTTTTTTTCTCTCTATTTTTTACATATCTTTTTGTAAAAAATTAAAAAGTCATCTCAAACATACTAATTTTTTTTAGCTCATATTTTAATCAAATAGCACTACTAGAAATATGACTTTCTGCGTCTATTTTTTTGCGACCGTTTGTTTTGCGGTCGCAAAAAATCTCTTTTTAATTGACCAAACCGTATTCTTAAAAATAAAAAAATAAAAAACCCCCAAATCATTAAAAAAACTTGACCCGTCCCCCTTTTCTTCCCTTATTTCCCAAATCTGAACTCTCTCTCTCTCTCAAAATATGTCTCTCGCTCGACTCTCTCGCTCAAATCTCACTGTCTCTCTCACTAGACTCTCACTTTGAAGAAGATTTGAAAATTTTGATCGATTGTTGATGAAGATTTGAAGATTTCAATCTGCTGTTGATGAAGATTTCGATCGATCCATAATCGAGATTCATAATCGGTAAGCCTAAACACTTCTCTTTGTCCCTCTCTGTAATGTTTGGCACATCTTCATCGATTCATCTTCATCGCTCGAATCTTACTCTTTGTAATGTTTGACGTATCTTCATCGATTAATTTGTAATGTGTAAATTGAAACATTAATCGATTCAACTGTCTGTCTCTCTCTGTAATCTTGCTCTCCTCTCTGCTCTTCGTACTCTCTCTCTCTCTCTATATATATATATATCCATGCAATGTATCACCGATATGTGTTGTTCAATTACAACAGTGTGTAAATTACAACAGTATCACCTCCAGATGGAATGTTGCTAATATATTGCTTAGTGTTGGTACTGTGAACGCCTATTTCTGAAATGTTTACCAATTCTGAGCATTACTAAATAAAGACCTTTTTTTAAAAAAAAGGACTCCTAGACATGCTGTTGTTGATGAAGGTACCAGAAAACAGGGTGCTTCAAAGCTCTCCTTTGTTCATTTGACTTTGTTCACATGTTTGATAGTTTTATTTGATGGATTTAATCATACTTTTGTAGTCAAAGTGATCTTTAATGGAGTGTTCGAAAAGACCTTCATTTTATGAGAAAGTTACGATCCATCATTTTCTGTACTGCTTGTTGATATTAGGCATATGAGCTTTTAAAGGAAGGTGTAGATCTTCAAGCTTTTTATAGATACTTTCAGTTTATGTTCTTCACATAATTATTAAGAGAAAGTAATTGTTTTATCTATGATAATTGTTGATGGTGCAATTGATTATTGAAAATGATCACTCTGTTATTGGGGTTTGTACTTTTGGGTAAGAAAGTTGATGGAAAATTTGTGATGGAAAAAGGTCTTCACATCCTTTCTTTGACTCAGTTAACGGTCCTCCGCCGGACTTGTTGACAGTAATTTGGAAGCTCCTTACTGGAAACACTTCATCGCTTGAATTGTTCAAATTACTTCTCTCTGCAAAATTGTTGAATATGCTGTTCATTTCATGGCTGCTACATGTGCTTTGAATATCAATCAGACATGTTCTATTTAGGAAAGAAAAAATTCTAGATCTAATATTTTTTTAACTCTCGTTTCTGTCATTACAGGTCAAGCCCAAACCTAACTCAGCTAGCGTATAAGGACTTCTGAGAGACTTAATGTTGACAGTTATTCCCTTGCTTACTTTGTTTGCCCTCAGAACCTAGTATTCCATACTACTTATTTGTTTAGGATTTTATTATATTTTTTGTTTCAGTTTACATGATTTAGTATTCTTCTTTTATTTTTTCTTTTTTTTAGGTAAATGAGGAGGAAGCTTCTCTTTTTGACATGTCGTGGTTGCTGTTTGCAAGTGTCATATATGTGCCTATATTCCAAAAAATCCCTGGAGGTAACTGAATCTCATGATCTATTATTGTAGTAGTTAAATTGAAGCCTCATCTTTGACTTCTTTAGTGTAAGATGGTTGCAGCATGTGGCATGATTTCATGTTTGGATGTATAAGGTACATGCACTTCATGATTGTTCCTATATAGTATCAGATAAATTTGGAATGGTACATAGAGGATTAGCATGGCTCCTGCAGAAGGATGGCATACAAATGCCACTATCTGAACTCTTTTATATCCAGGTTTTTCTACTTGGCATTTCATAGCTCATGTTTCATTATCCTTGTTTGTTATTGATTATGCTTTTGTAAACGTCTAGAAGTAGAACACTATAATTGTTAGGAGTACAATTTAATGGGTTTGATAACAACAATCATACTGTTCTTGGACTCAGCCATCATCTGCATGTATTTTCTGGCCATTTTCTTCTTCTAATATGTGTTTGGAGTTTTATTTGTTTCATAGGAAGATGAATATTGCAAATATGCTTGCCCAAATCATCAGGAAAAAGGACTCGAATTAAAGGTGCCCTCCATTGATGAAGTTGAGAATCAATCAAATGCTTCACCTTAAGTGAATAAAAACGATGTCCCAAACCTCGACCCATCATCACGTTACTTGTTGTAGGAATCTAGTTATCCTCAAACGGATCAATCTTCTTCCCATTACCTACCACCCACAACAAACCTTTTAGAAGAAGCTCCTTACCCCAAAGAATACTCTTCCAACCCCAAGAACTCCCCCATTTTTTCTTTGCATAGACAAAACCCTCCTTATGACAATATTTAGCCACTAAAACTCTGCTTACAAGAGACTGAGGTTCAGTTAAAATTCTCCACGCCGTTTTGGCCAAAAGTGCTTGATTAAGAGCACCCGGATCCCTCAAACCTAGCCCTCCCCTCCCGTTTAGGTAAACACAGAGACGACCAACGTTTCCCCACAAGTCCCGTCCCATCAATTTTCTTCCAAAGAAAATTAGTTACAATACTCCGAACTTGGCGAATAAAATAAGCCGGGGCCTTAAAGACAGACATGAGATAAATGGGGATAGATAGAAGGGAGCTTTTCACCAAAACACACCTCCCCGCAAAAGAAAGAATTTTTTTTTTCCATCCCTGTAATTTAGCTTGCAATTTATTTAAGACTCCTAGTGAAAGAGATAAAGAGAACAGAGAGAGATAAATACAGAGAGACAGGAAGATGAAAAAATGAATGAAAAGAGATGTTATATTAAAAGAGTAAGACGACATCGTTTTTTTTATTTTTTTTGTGCCAGAAAAATACCATTGAATTTATTCAAACTATTTTGTGACTGTATATATATGAAGCTGTCTCAAAACCACAATCACTATGTTAGGTTAGAGTTTTCCAAAAACTCTTTTGAGAAAATTAAACT